ACTGAACCAAAATCGGAACATTAACTGGATGTCGAACTTGTAAGGATTACCATTTCTTATTTATCCAGGTGTGGCAGTGCCAGAGGGAGAGGCCCATCGTCATGAACCACCCATTCCTCATGACAAAGTCATGGTAGACAGAAGAAAGAACATTGCAGAGCTGAAAGATGAAAACAAACAACCTGTTGCTGCAGAAGGTGGTGAAGAAAACCCTCTAAGAGGCAACGAGCAAGATTTCGAGAATGCTTTGAAAGTGGAAAACAAAGATGACAAGGTTGATGAAAAACCTGCAAAAGAAGAGGATCTGGGTGGAGGTGAAGTCTTGTCGAACGAGCTGGTTGATAAGCCTGTTGCAGAAGCAGGCAAAAAGTTGGAAGTTGCCCCATTAAAGGAGGGTGAGAATCTCAACGCTGTTAAAGAGCCCCTTGCAGATAATGCAGGTGTAGTGGCCAATCAGGCTGCAGAAGCCAATCAGGATGCAGCAGCCCAAGTCCATAAAGTGGGGAAAGCTGCAGATGCTGCAGAGAAAGGTGAGCATTTCAAGCTGTTTAACTGTTGGTTAAGCAAAATGATGAAAAAGGCGTTCTAAGAGAGTGTTTGTGATATGTAATGACCTTTAAGCTCCACCTGCTGAAGGAGAGCATCGCCCTGCTGGAGAAGAGGCTCCAGCTGCTGAAGGCAAAGATGCAGCAGATGACAAGATGGAAGGTAAGTGGAGTAGACATGTTCAATAAAATTCAAAGTTAAATTCATTTATTTAGTAGCTGCCAATTTTTTCAGCATGTTGTGAAAAACCTTAATCACGTCCACATTTAAAAATCAGCCTAAATCAATTTGCACTCGCATTTATAGTGGCTGATAGTTTTTTTTGTAAACCATGACCTGCTCTCGGTCGGGGGAAATGCCCTCACATTTGTGCAGATACAGACTTGGGTTTTTATTTTATATTAATAGTTTGCTAAAATGTGGTCCAGGCTTTCCTTATCTGTGTCACTGTGTAACACTGACATACTAAGTTTGTAGCAGAGCTTGCTAAGCATGGAAAGAGCTGCTGCCTGAATGGAATCCAGATGCACCCTAATTGTCCCACTAGAGCCACTTCCGCCAACTCTGACTTTAAATTGCTTCCGCTATGAGAAACACATACGAGACGTTCTCTTGTTTCCAGCAAGACTCAATACAAGAGTCTCCATGCATTCACTGCATCTGACAAGCTGAAGACTTAGTGAATCACCTTTATGGCCACAACATTGTCCCAACATTAATGGGAAAATCCCAGTACATTTATCTTTATATTTATATTCTTCTAATTTTCAAATATCAAATATTTTCTTACAAAATCACTTTGCTGAAGTTAAGACGTGTTTAAGGCAGCAGGTGTGTTGGTGTTGGTTATATTTAGAAGACGATTTGTTGTTTTTAGCAGTTTCCAGCTCTTAGAGAGCTGTACTGGATGTATGTAGCCAATGTTGATTCTCTAATGTGGTATCGACTGACCAATCAGAGCAGACTGAGCTTTCCAGAGGCAGGATTTGAAGAGACTGGAGGTAAAACGTTGTTTCAGAGTTCCTGCTGCAGGAAAATCAGCATGTGAAAAAATGTGTTTTTGAACATTAAAAATGTCAAACTGGTAAAATTGTGAAACTTTAACTAAGTGATATATGAGGACTTTATTTAAAAATGAAATGCTGGACTTTAAAATCCAAATATGAAGTCAGGTTACAGGAAAGGCTCAATAAATAAATAAATAAATAAATAAATAACAAACACTTAATTTAACCTCTTTGTTTTCTGGGTGGGAGAGTGCAGTATTCCTCTTATTGGCTAATTTAGACTGCTATGTAGCCCACTTCCTCTTTCTTTTCTCTTGCTTTGCTTGTTTTATCTTAATGATCCCTTCTTGCCTATTATTCCCTGTTTGGTGTTAAAAAAGAAAAAGAAGTACAGATGTTTCCTCTCACTTCTTGACTTAGCTCGATCCTCTTTTTTGGCTTTTGTTGACTTTCTCATTCTGTTATTCTGTTGTTTACTTTTGCCTTCTCTTCCTTTTTTCTCCATCTTTTCTTTCTGTCTCTGCTGGACTCCTGTCGCAGTGATAAAAAAGCTGGTTGCAGGTATGAACTCCCTCTTGCCTCTTCTTCAGGTTATCTCAATCTGTCTGTCACTCAAATTTTTAAACATTTACAAAATGGCTCATCTTTTTTTTTTTTTTAATTATTGCTTATACAGTTGTGTGTGTTTTATGTTTGTGTGTGTTTATATTTAAACTTAATACTAGTAAACTAAAAGTACCCACTCACATTGCCTGTTAACATAATCTGTGTCCACACCTGCCTGTTTAAGGCTACAGTCTAGAAGAGCGTGTTAACTGGAAGTAGTAGATTATTAACTGTTTCCTGTCTGCCCCCCTCACCCCCAGAGTCTGGCCCTAGTTTTATTAAGCCTCCTAACTAATGCCCTGTTCTCTGAACAGGTCGTTACTTATTTTAATTAAATGTTTTTGAATGGTTTGTTTCCATGTAGAGGGTCAGCTGGACCACGCGGTGCTTCTGCAGGTCATTAAGGAGCAACAAGAACAACAGAAAAGGCTTCTGGACCAACAGGAAAAACTATTGGCTGTCATAGAAGAACAACACAAGGAAATCCACCAGAAACAACCTGCTGGTGTGTATATACCTTCTTTTTTTTCTTTTTGTAGTCATGACAACTTGTAAAGAAAACACAACTTAAATGTGGCCCATTTAAGTTAAGGGCCACATTTAAGTGGTGGCCCTTAACTTAAATGTAATGTTTTTGCATTTAAAGGGGGCGCTGCTGAAGGCGATGGTGAGAAAGGCATCCAAGGACAACCAGAGATGATGGAAGGTGGAGCAGCAAAACCTAAGGAGTCTGAACTGGAGCAGCCCAAGGAGGGAGCTGGAGCTCCACAGGCTGGAGGAAATGAGGCTCATGCTCTGGCCCAGAATCAAGCTCAGGTTGAAGATAAAGGTGCTGAAGCTAACCCTGCAAAAGTAGCCGTTCCAGCAGCTTACAAGGAGGATGCAAATGTTGCACTCGCAGGAGAATCACATAAGGAAAGTGAGGTCGGGGCGAGGGGAGTGCCATTGGGGAAGCAAAAACTTGAACCTGTAGCTCAGAATGATCAGTTACCAGAAGAAGAGGCAATTGAAAAACTTAAGAAAGAAATGGTAGGCAAAGAAGATCAGGCAAAACAAGGAAAAGAACGGCTGGAGAGGGAAATGAAGGAGAAGCTAGCCAGGGTAGAGGAGTTAGAGAGGGAAAGATCAGAGAGAGAAAGGATAGAGAAAGAAGTTCAGGCACGATTAGAAAAAGAACGGCTAGAAATGGAGAGAAAAGAAAAGGAAAGGCTAGAGGAAGAAAGGATAGAAAAGGAAAGACAGGAAGTGGTGGCCAAACAAGAGTTGGAGAGGGAAAAGATAGAGAAAGAAGTTCGAGAAAGGCTGGAAAAAGAACGACTGGAAAGGGAAATAAAAGAGAATCTGATCAGAGAGCAAGAGCTTGAGAAAGAAAAAGCATTAAAAGAGAAACTTGCACGCGACAAAGCTGCAAAAGAGCGATATGAGCAGGAGCTGCAGAAAGCGGACAATGAAATACTTGATAAAGCAAAGAAAGAGGAGGCATTGCAGGAGGCTCAGGAGAGGCTGCTTCAGCTGCAGCAGGCCATAGAAGCTCAAAATGCTGGAAAAGCTGCACAGGGGGGCAAGATAGATGATGGTGAGGCTTTGAAGAAAGGAGGACGAGACCTCAAAGAGAAAGCTGCTGCTCAGCCAGAACCCGGAGAAGGGGAGGAAGATGGCGAGGTTCACCCCCAGGGCTCCCACGAGAAAGTTAGGAAGCAGGGAGAGATAGATCTGAAGCGGAGGCGTAGGTCACTCGGAGAGGCTAGAGGGCCCCTGGAGGACACTGAGGCGTCCAGGGGGGTTCCAGGGTTGGAGCCCCTGCTGGAGCTGGGGGGGCAAGATCTGCACGCAGCCCTGGAGGGGCAGCTACTGGCTGGGGCAAGGCTACACACACGGCAGATTAAACAGGCCTCAGAGGATGAAGAAGCTAAATAACACACACACATTCTTATTTAGCGGTCAAACACATACTGTAGACCTGCAGAACCTCTAATACTGTGGACCGTGATATTGCTGCCTTACATTCTCTTTTGCCTTCGGAGTTGTTAAGAAGTGGACTGTGTTGTTTTTCTTGATACTGTGTAATCTGCCAGGAAGCCAAAGTCTTTATCAAAGAGCAAAAGTGAATGTAAATATTAACTTATTTTTGTTTCCAGAGAAAATTTTGAAGAGGTCATTGTTTAAAGTGTACATACATCTATGCAATTACCTTTCTGTGGAGTGTTTTTGAAAAGGACGCTATTCGTATTTGAGTCACATGTACTCCTTTTGTTATTCAGTTGTTCCTTGGTCTTTGTAAATGTTGTAAATGCTTTTAAATGTGATCCATGTATTTTCTTATAGAACCCGGTTACCCCAAATTTAATGTACTGTGGCTTCAGGCCCTTTGATAGTGTTTTTGCTTCATGCTTTCAAAATGAGGTATTTAACTACACGCTGGAGTTTTCAGATATAGAGTAGCCTTACTATTTCCATAAACTGTGGACAGCAGAGCAGCTCGAACCAGACAACCTGGATCAATACCTGTAGTTTCTAATCATTCCATCTTTATTCCTAGTATTTCTTCCAGGTTGATTTATTAGTGCCTTTCACTTAACATACTACAGCGTATATTTTATTCAAACAAAATGTGTTTTTTTCCCCTCAATATCTGGTCTTTTTCTTCCACTAAATGATCTTATTTGAAGATATAATAATGGAAGGTATTTTGGACTTCTGTATTGTCTTTCATTGCCTAGCACTTCAACATATTGGACCTTTGCTTTATAAAAGAGGCTATTTTTGTGACTATTTTTCTACATGCATGTTATTTCTGTACATTTTGCTGATAAAAATTAATAAAGCTCATATATCGAAACATCAAAGTCAGGGTTTTATTTATTTACACACAGACACGCACAGGTTTTCACGTTAAAGACTACGGCAGTTCTTAATGGCTTATCTCAACCACACCAACGTGAAAAACTTCTTAGCATCAAAAGTCAGTCAACTTGGTCTTCTTGAGATTGGTCCAGATAAGCCTGGATGATTTCCATTCATCTGGCTCTTTTTTTGGCCTGTAATAAAATCAAATATATAAATAGGTAAATGGATAACATTAAACAGAACTTTCAGTGTGACAGTTGCTGACACTGGCACTTACTGCATTGGTAAAGCAGATCTTCAGTGCTTCAAACTCTTTGGCACACAGATCCTTCCTCAGCTCCTGTGTGCCTGTTGTGGTAGCAGCTACACACTTTCCATACACTGCTGCCTGAATAACACACAAATTAAAACGTCACATGAAGAACATTTGTCAATGTAATAAATAACTGCATTACTTTAATTATTTGGACCAATGTTTTATTAACAAATGTACCCATTTTTATTAACTTAATTTCCACTGTTTTGTTTATTAAGAATTGGCACATTAACTTTATTGCCAAAAATTCACCAGAAGCTAAACCATGCTCTAAAATGTTAACTAGGTAAATCTAGTAATAAAAAATAATAATACAATACAAACAAGTGCTTATGTGTGCTTTAATGAATAATTAACTGGTAGGTCTTTTTGTAAACTACATCTTGAGATAATAAAGTACATGGCAGCACGTGTATATTGTTAAAAGCTTAAATGAGGAAATATTTTGGATGTCCCCTACTGGGAGCTGCTGTAGAGATGGCAGCTGGCTTTGATGGGAGAGGCAGCTAAGTTTATTCATATCTAATGAGAAGAAGAGAGGTTCCAGAGTTGAACCCGTTCAAAGGATAATCTACCAAGCAGTATTTTTCCACCATGTACTTACCTCGTTCGCACACTGTGCAAAAAGTTCCGGGAAAAGTCTCATTTTCTCCCTAGTGCGACTCCAGACATTTGACCCAGACATGCTGTTCAGGCGTAAATAGATTTGTTTTAATATCTGGTAAAAATTTTAAGTCAACGATTTAAAAAAAAAACGAAGCAGCAATATTTTCGTGTCAAATAGTTTCTTAAAACCTCTGACAACTCAAAAGAACCGAAATTATTTTTATCATACAACTCACAGACGGAGCTCCGGTGAAAACCCTGGGCAGCGCCATGTTGACGACTGTTTACGCCCATAAAAAAAATTGAACTATGATTCGTTCATTTCCTTGTCAGAAAAAACATTTCTGAAGGTTGATTCGTCATGTTCCAACTCCTGGTTTAACCAGAACGCCAATAGAGTCGAGGATTGCTGCTTAGTGTTTTGTTATTGGCTAGCGGTCACCTCAAGCCCCGCCTTTCCATCGTACACCTCGAAGGAAGATGAGTAACCCGCAGCTGGGACTGCTAAATCATGGCAACATTTATGGAACGATTAGCCTTTCTTCAGAAAGTAAGTAATATCGACAGTCGTTATTTAAAAAAAAAAGAACACAGAGAAGCCGAAACGAACATGTTAAATGTCACGTAACGTTGACGTACTTATTTAAATCTATTAGCTTTTGCGAAACCATAGCTTTCTTTTAGCCTGCTAGCTAACATCCTTAACCAACATCTTTTGGCTTTTTACTTTCTGTTTTTCACTGGACGTGTCAGGTTGTTTCGTTAAAACTTAATGCTGCACACTGGTTTAAGGGTCAGTTTGCGGTCAACCGAAGTGGTAAACCACAATTTCGTCTAACTATCCAAGGTGCCCACCCTGATGAAGGCTACAGCAGATGATGAAAACCCCTGTCCTGGCTACCTTTTCCAGGAGATTGGAAGTATCCTTTAGCTGCTTCTGCTGTTGACTGCAAAAAGTTCCTACTCCTGCTGGCCTCTTTTGGATCTTAGAGCTGTATAAGTAGGCTGTGGCCATGACTCTACATAATCACTGATGGGTGCATGGCTAGGATAGGATAGGTTAAAATTATATTTTTTGTGTGTGTGAAGAAAAGGTCTCACGTGGGTTATCAGTCAAATGTTTATACCAGCGAAACCATGGGAGTAGTAATATCTGTGTGATGAAGTGTTATATCCTTAATTCTAAGCACACTGTAGAAATCTCCCATGAGTCTTCAGGTTGTGGTCAGTGTTTGTTGGAATACCTCCTGGAGAGGCTACAAGTGGAGTCCTGTCATGTCAAACTGAAGGTGAGAGAATTGCTTTTGCTACTGTTTCTGTCTCTTTAAAGGACCTGTACATTGCTGATTGCAGTTTATGAGTAAGTGTGGGTTCTGTTCTTGCTTCTGGTGTATCAGGTGCTGAAGATTTTTGTCCACCTCTGTGGTCATGGGTCCAACCATTTCCTCACAGAACTCAGAAGGAACTCCACCTTCATCCAGCAAGCATCCGGTTAGATTTTTCTCATTTGTGCGTTCAACTTTCATTATTTTGCTGCTGCCATCGTTCATACATATTCACTTTGGGTAATTTTTATTTGATAAGTTTACAGCGGCCCTCCTGATCCCATCCATGGCACAGCATTATATGAGAAAGTGAGGAATACAGCACAGGTACGACATGGGTTGTTTTGTATTTTCATCTCAATATAGTTAGTTACACAGAAAGGGAAGGTGGCTTGAATAAGAACTTTTATTCTTTTCCGTTCATCCATTTACAGGAAGTGGCCCGCTTACTTTTCACAGATGTCATTCCCTCCAAAAACAGTATCACTTCAACTAACCTTGCCCCCCCTACAATGGGTAAGTGCTAACACACATTGATTATGACCATAAACGGCACTCATCTTTCAAAGATGGGCAGGCGGGCGGGTGACGTGGACACCAAAGTTTGTGAAAGTGATAACTCAAAAATGAATTAGAAAGTATAATTTTCCTGATGAAAGATATAAGCTTTAAAGACTTAAAGACCTAAATATATGTACTACGTCCTGTATGCCAAACTATTGTACATCACTTTGCTATCAGGTTTGACTTTAGCGCCATGTAATAAACAAGTAATAGAAGAGAATGGGTATCTGTAGATGGGATGAAAGAAGTAGTCATTAAATTGCATTGTGTGTACAATAGTTAATTTGTTTCATTCTCTTTAGGTATGGGATCGGCCACTTCCCACAGATCAGGAATGCAGGGTTTTGGATACAGTCCAAGAAAGCAGGGGACAGGTGAGGGAAGCCGAGCTGCACAGTACATACAAATCAAACTTACTGCGTGTGTAAATTTCTGGACCTGTGCCTTGCAGCAGGCAGCGACTCACTTCTGGATAAGATTCAGAAAGCAGCTGAGGTGGTGGCGAGCGCTGTCCTTCCCCCTACTGAGCATCAGGGGATCCGTCTCCATGACAACCATTACCGGGCCGTGGTGGCGCCTTCTGCACCCATAGAGGTGGCCGTGCCAGCGTGTGCCTATAATCTGCCTGCTTGTAGACCGAAAGGTCAGAAATGAAGCTGGCACAATTACGCATTTTATTGAGGCAAGATTGAGGAAAAAGTATCAACTGAAGCCTTAGTAGCGAACAGATGTTTATAAATTAAGGTTTTCCTCATGTGTCTTCACTTCACCAGTGACTAAGTGGTGTCCGGGGCAGGTAGGAGGTGGCTGGGAAGAGACGGACAGTGGCAACAGCTCCTCTCACAACTCCTCTCAGGACATCGCTGCCAATAGCAGGGCGTCGGTGGGCAGCAAGTCAGCTGGCACAGGAAGCCAATCAGGGGCCAGCAGAGAGAGCAGTGGGGACCTATCAGATCGGTCAGTGTCAAAAAAGTTTAACCTTTTTAACACATCATGGCCTCGAGCCTTTTTTTTTTTCCTTTTTAATGCATTAGCTGAGAGCAAGTACTGGATTTTAAACAGACTTTACCCAATGCCTGTACAGTGACAGTGCATTTAATCTCCTGTTGTGTGACACACGAGAAAAGGAAACATCAGAAAATTGTTCATGTTTGAAGAGGGCTTGTAGTTTGTTAAACCAGCTGTTTTTATTCCAGTGCAGTCACATTTAGGAGCTTGTAGCATAATCTCCAAATGTTCTGTGTGCAGTTTGTACAATTTACTGTTTACTGGTCACCTAAGAATAAACCTTTTGCCAGGATTGTCAGTTTTTCTATGCAGTAAGCCATGTTCCTGAGCATTATAAGCCTGTGTTTTCTTTAAGTTTGTTACTTTCCTCTCATACTTTGTGTGGTTTCCAGGGTGGAGGCCTTGCAGCTAGGGGATTGTGGTCAGGAGATGGCACTCATCAATAAACTGACTGAAGGCTCCAAAGTTTTCCTTTCCAGAGAGGAGAGCCAACACTTCATCAAAGAGTCAGTGCACCAAAATCCCATTGAAAACACAACAGCCTGGGCTGGTTCTTTTCTACAAGCTGGTTTCTCATTTTTAATTAGTTTTTTAGTAAACTCCTGATTGTATTCAGTTGCCTTTTTTAATATTATTAATTGAGCTATTTTCATCTTATTATACATTTTTGTGCTCCTGCTTTTGTGTTATTTTTATTTAATTCAACTATTTTACTCTATTCTATTTTAAGCTTTTTTATTGGTTGTTTTGGTTTCTGTGATGCAGTAAATTGTTGGGACTTGTGGCATGATTTCAGTCTCTCTTTTTCTTTTTTTTTTTTACTCTGTCAGGTGCTCCATTCTTAACTGTGAGGTTGTGGTGGAGTTGCTGTCTTGCAAGCTTCAAGATCCTTCCTACACCATTAAGATGGTAACAATGAGAAGACATCGAAAATCAGAATTCTTTGTTTCAACTTTACTCTGATTATAGTGTTGTTTGTCTACTCTTGCAGCGGGCGCTGTGTGCTGTCGCATCCCTGATGACCTCTGACCTCCTCTCTCTGGAACAAATGTTTGGAGCCACACAGCACAGACTTCGCCAGCTGAGCGAGGGCCCTCCAGGACCGGTGGCAAATAAAGCCACCAAGGTAAACGAAGCAGAGGGAGACTACTTTACTACTTAAGGACAAGTAGTAAACCCAATAATACTTATTTGTGCTTTTTTTTTTCTTTTTCTTTTTTTTTAATCTGCATATCTCCTCTGACTAGATCTTGCGACAGTTTGAGGCTTTGATGGGCGGATCTCTGCATGCTACCAGGCAGGATGCAGTGAACAGCCATCAGGCAACAGTGAATCAGCTTCACACCTCTAGCAGCAATTTACTGCCAACACACTTGTTTGACAGTTTCAAACTTCAACAGCCGGACACTTCATCTGCAGGTGTCACTCAACCACCAAAGCACCCATCTCCCCCTCCTAGTCAGGATCTGGCTCAGAGCCACGAATTAGCAGAAGATCAGGTCCAACCAGTAAGGACAGGCGAGGTGAGACTGCATGCTGAAGATTCCGAGACTGTTCAAGATAAAAGCACCCTTGCTTCATGTGAACCTCAGAGTAAGCCACACCCCCAGAGCAGACTGTCTCTGTTCAGTGGCATGGAGCTGGTGACCAAAGGAAAGCCGCTGTGTAACAGTGAAACATCACATGAAGAGGTGGAGGACAAAATAGGCGACAGGATAAAGGAGATGGACGCTGTGCATAAGTCAGATTGTTCAGTGAACTCATCTATCACCAGTAAAACCAGTGAGGATGTTCCCTCAGTTTGCAGTTCCTCTGCATCTAATTGCAGCCAGTCAGTATCAGCTTTCTCCTTTCTCAACTTTTGATTGCAGGCAACCGTTTAGAGCTGTTCTACTTTAAACCAATGATGTCATCATGCGTTGATCCTTTTGGAAACCTGTTTAATGTTCCAAACCAAGATGCAACCAGTTAAGTTGTAAGTGGATAGCAGATTCTAATTCAGTTTCTTTTCTTATCTGTGTGCCTCTTCAGAAACTGTTTTTAAACAGCAAATTGGGCCAAGAGTGAGATTTGGGACTCATAAATAGAGCCTGCAGATCATGTCCATCTATGGATGGTTTGTCTTCTTAAAGACAGGTCTTTGTCTGCTGCAGTGTATTTTAAAAGTATTTAATGACTGAAGTTGTCTTGGATAAGAGGTCTTTACTCTGCCTTACAAAGTTACAGGACGATAACTGCAGAAAACATGAAATGAGAGATCTTTGTAACATTTACTTTAGAAAACTTAAGCTGTTTTTCCACCTCAGTATCTTTAATCCAAGACTCTTGTGCAGCTTTGCATGACATTACAGTTCAAAATCACATTTATTTATGTCATACTGGGCCTCAGTGCAGCTCATCAGTTCATCCTCACCGTCAGAAACGAGCTGTCTTTTACTCTTCTGTGCTCATGGCCAGATCTGTGTACCTGAGGTGGTCTCATTAGGGGTATCTGCTCTCTCTGATGTCATACAGAGACGGGTAGGAAAAAAATGTTTCGATCAATCTGAAGCCTGAGCTTTTAGTTTACAAGAATTACTTGAGCAAACACTGACCTCATTATTTGAAACTTCCATCTGTTTAAGCAAATAAAAAACATAATGGGTCCCCTTTCTACATAGTGCAAGGAAAGCACAGCCTTGACATGTGTCATGAGGGGGGAAAAGAACTAATGAATAAATACTTCTTTAAAAAAAAAAAATCATGGTTTATGAAAAGGCTTATTCAATATCTGGAAGGCTGATCAAATAAAAGTCCAAACCAAAGTCTAAGCGAGGCTAGTCTTCAGCAGCACCAGTTTTAGTTCCTGCATCATTTGCAAACAAAAATGCTCCAACCTGCTACTTTTCCATTTTCCCTAAAAATGACACTTCTGTGAAATCATAATGTTTAAATAGTAAAATGACAGATGTAGGCCTAAATTTAAATCTAATAAAGTACGCAGTTACTGTGTTTTGGCTTTGCGGGGCACACTGGTGGTTGCTTTTTCTCAGGATTTCTTTTATGTAACAACTTCCACCTCTGCAGCACGGCCTGAACCTCTGAGGGGGAGAACCTCTGTTTGAAATTTGCACTACAGTCGCTTTTCTTATGAACTCAAATCAAAAGAGAGTTGTCTTCCATTATTTTTGGTACTAAGCTATTAAGTCATTGTAAATGTTCCAAGTGTAAATTTAGAAATTTATTTATTATGTCTGCTCTGTTGACTAAAATGAGACTTGTAGAGTGCATGATTTAAAAAAAAAAAAAAACAACTTGGGGGAATTAATATTTTTGGGTTATTGTGTGTGCATAACTAATGTCTCGACTGTTTGATCATATGTAAGCAGTCATAAAGGATTTCTCATTTCAGCAAAGGTTTGCCTTCATTGTTTCAGTTACATATTTATTGCAGTGGAATGTAGTTCAAACTACACGCCTAAATCGTAATTCAGCGTAATTGTACTATAATGAACGCCACTGATGTGTTTCAGTTCAGTGAACACAAGCCAAGCTGTTCAACATGCAGGACAATAAAGCATGCTGTATTTTTGTCACAGCACTAACCACTACGCAGTCTTGATGTGATTTGTTTTGTTTTTTTTATCCGACATGTTTGCACACATCACTTTTGGCAACACTTTATTTCAAATGATTCAGGGAAATTACATATGAATCACTTTTACATTTCATTTTATTCCAAACACAGTGTACTGGTCATATTAAACCACCCATAAACAAGTATGGCTGACCGGCTTATGACACACAGATACACAATGTGGAACAAGTAAACACTGGGTTCTAAATTATTTTAAAGAGTCTGTTTTTGTTAGAAGCGCTGTGCCGAGCGGAGTGCTGCCTGACCTGCACTTTCCACAGTGCCTTCTTAAGGACCTATAATTAGCCAGGGTTTAATCTAAGGTTGGATTTCAGCCAAAAAGTCTATGAGGATCTCTGTTCCATCCTCTTAAACCCACTGACCAACCACACCTAGACATTTTAGATTCATTTAGCCAGTGACTGCAAAAAGTAGCATGCTCTAACTTTATAGCTTTGGTTAGAGAAAACAAAGCCTAAAATATTCTTTAATGGATTGTGTTGATCGTGCTCCTTAGGAGTGAATCCATTGGCCTTCTCCATATGGGATCACAATAACTCCCAGTTCTCTGATGGAAACAAGCGACCGACTGTCCCAGTCAAGAGTAAACAGAAAGACTTCCAGAGTAAAGTGCTTAGCTTTATTTAGTTCTGCAAGCACTTTGGATCATCATCATCATCATCACACTTTTCTTGTGATTAGCACCAATGAAAATGTCCACGCATCGACGCACGCATGTAAAGAGAAGGAGACCTCTTCATAAAGTGCACGGGGTGCATGCATACACACACACATACACACAAATCCACACGTACACATCAATACTGCACAGAAAACCACAGTGGCTGGGCCATGGAAAGGCGGATGTGCTTATGATCTTGACAAATGGTACATGTCGAGGTGGGGGTGAGCCCAGGATCCATAAACCTCCCCAGTGGGGTTGCAGCTGTATGCTGTTTTCATAATATGTCGTGTGCGATGGTACGACAACTGAAAGTTATCATGCCACATACATTTCAATCAATAAAAAAGTTGTTATTAATAATAATAATGATAAGAACTTTGTAATACCATAATATTTTCAGAGACAGTGAAAATCTCATACTGTTGCAACCCTATTCCCTACACATCATCGCCTTACACCTGACCCCATGGTGTTATTGAGGCTTTCTGGGAGGCACCATCATGCCAGCAGTGTTGACACTGATGGGTGAGGGACAAAATGGTCAGGAGGCAAGGTCGGGCGAGGGCCGGAGGTCACGGTCATGTTGACCCTGGTCGTCCTCTGGTCTGCAGACTGCTGAAGTGCGCCTCCCTCAGGACTCTGTTGATGTAGTCATATGAGACACTTCTTCCATCACCATGGAAACCGTGCTGCAAGGAGCTGGCAGAGACTTCGGGCTTTGGGCTGACGGGGTCCTGGGTCCTGCAGCTGTTTTGGCTGTGTATGCATGGTCTGGTGGTGGCCACTATTGCTCTCTCTGGACTGCTGATCCCATTGCTGCTGTCACTGCTGGAAGACTGCAAACACAGAACAGAGTTGGAGTCTAAACAGCAGCTTCACAGATGGATACACAGCCTGTGAATAAAGACGGTCTAAGCTCTTTCTGACAGCGGCGCACTGTATGTGATCCCAAGACACGTGCTCTATCTGCAAAAATGCAGCAAGATTTACATTATAAGGTAAAAGACGTCAACTTTTATAGACAATCAGGAGCAAATCCACAATCTATGTATGTGTCTCACCTCTGAGTCCAAATCTGATACAAGCAACGAGGGACCCCCTCCTGACCTCTTGGCCTGAGGCCTCAGCTGTTGGTCTTCCTCGCTGTCGCAGCTATGGTGCCTTTTCCTGTACAAAACAGCGATGCAAGGAACAGAGAGATTGTGTGACAGAAATGATGCAGGGAGGGGGAGACAGATTGGGCGGAGGAAGCCAAGAGTATCAGAAAGAGAGTACATGACGAGGAACCAAAAATAGCAACACAGGCTGAAGCAGTTATATGAACAGGCATGTGGCACTGGTACTATGAGACCATACAGACTTACACAGCTTTACTGGGGTCTGTATGAAGCTATATTATATGACTAGAACTTGGATGCCTGAAAAATGTGACTTAGTCATAACATTGAATTACAATGACATAATAACTCAGTGTATTTTTCCATATGGTGATGATCCTATAATAAATAATTGTGAAATATTGTGAAAATGTATGTTCTCGTCTTTACCTGCTGTCAGTCAGCATTTCTCCAGTCTTATCGGATGCTTATTTTTGGCAAACAGAAAGGTTGACACTCCTTGTCAGCCGGGTTAAGATGTCTTATTTAAATGCTTTGGCAATGCTGCTCTCTCTCATCTCACTGGGAAGTCCAGGGTGTGTAAAACGAGCTATCTTCAGCCGGCTGAAGAAGCACCGGTAGCCACAGGAAAGCAAAAAATCTCCGCTCTGCCAGCGTCTCGGCGGGGCCACAAATTTAGCCGAACGAATAAAAGCTAACAAGCAAGTTGCTAGGTATTCTCGTTTACGCTGTGAAATCTCGAGGAGCCCCGGTCATGACAGCAAAGAAGCAAGCTAGCCCGCTAGCTGCTACCTGCTACCGTTTGAGTAGCCACTTATCTAGCTAACTTTAGCTGCACTAACCGAAAGTTCTTCCGCTTTCGTATGACGTCTACTTGCCAATAAGCGTGTTGAATTGTTCTCTTTAGTTTGCAACAGTCCGCTACGAGAAACCAGACCGGCAAGTTTACGATAAATCTGATTTTAATGTCTGCACTACAATACGTGATACTCCGAAGTCTTTTGGAAGACAATCGCGACTGCGAGCTTTCTTTTTTCTTTAACCCCGCCCCTCTGTTTACATGACGTAAACATAGCTTCCGGTGTGAACAAATAGAAGTATCGGTTAAGGTATTTTCTCATTATTGTATCCTTCTCTATTGACCCATTTGCCTTATTTGTACTTTTAAGTGTTTTAAGTGTTTTTTTATTGTGTGTCGAACAAAAGTGCAAAAACGCGTTTGCTAACTATTCTTTAGAAAATATCATATAGCATTAAGCTAGCTTGTGAGTTTATATTTACTGTAATGTAATGTAGCTGCTATTAATGTGTGATAATGGTTTTCTCTTCTTCCAGTCTCCGCTATTTAGCTGCTGACAGAACTGGACTGACCTTATATAATTAGCCTACAATTAGTGCATAAGTATTTAGCTTTTATATTGAAGGGGTTTGACAAAAGAGTTAGAATAACTGTTCAGGAAGTACAGCCATTTTACACACGGTACCTCCCTTCAGAGAATCCAAAGTAGTCGGACCGTAATTGTAATTGTTTTGGCCAGGTGCAGTCACTCCCTTTTAATTTTAGTTTAGCTTACTTTGATCTCTTGGTGGCTTAATGTTTATCACAAAACACTAGAGTGGATCAGTCCTCCTATCTAACTCTCGGCAAGAAAGCAAAAACATTTACAAATACATTTCTCAAAATGTCACACTTTTCCTTGCCACATGCATCCAAAGAGAGCAAGACATCCATGTAAAAGGAGTAAAAAGAATCAATTTATGTGATGGGGGGATAAAAGATGGGAAAAAACATTGTTTTGTCTGCAGGGTAATCAAGTTAATGCAATGCATTTCTCCTGCAGATGAAGGTGATCCAGTACACTCCAGAGAAACTCCATACAGCTTTGGTCTCCAATTCTCAGTATTTAACTAAGGTTTATAGTAAGTACACAAAAGAAGAAAAGCGCCTTCTGGAGGAAGGATTCCACGCTGGGCAGCCGGGTTCCCTTTTCCAACTCCTCACCGTGCACTCTGACTCTGACTGGATCCTCGCTCACCCCGAGGAGCCCGAAGACTTTGAGGCCTTCTACAGAAAACCTTATCGCAAGACCCCAAATGAAAGCCAGAGTACTATTTATATTCAAACCATAGGTGTGCATATCTGCATGTCATGTACTCAGAATCTCTATTTCTCTCAGTTCTAGCGGAGTATGTGTGGGGAGTTGTGAAATGTTTCTTACAGGATTCAGTAGCTTTCAGTTGATGCCCTTAGCAGTGGACATAGAGAGCATGAGAAGAAAAAATGAGAAAGAAAAAACTATAGTCAGTTAATTTTGGGCATTACAAATGGGTAAAGTATGTCTAGTGTGTGCAACAAAAGGGTGTGGTCTCCAAATTCAGCATGCCACTTGGTTGCTTAGGCTTAATTCTGCACTTTGTTTGTTGTAGGTTCTTTTGGAGAAGTTGCTGCCCAGACAGACCAGTATATGGAGTGGCTGCGAGATTACTGCCAAGCCTTCTTCTACGGGCTTTCTGTGAAGTTGCTTCCAGCAGTTGCAGTGTCTGAAACAAAGTGCTCTTTCAGGGTCAACAGTAACTCTTACAACCTTCAAATCCTTACTGGTAATGACTTAAAAATAAAAACAAAAAACGTACATTTAACAATTTTCCATATCAGTTAGTGACTTTGGACATTTTCCTTGCAGTGTCAATCTGGGTTGGTGCAATTTTCTTTGTCAGTACTGTTTTTCTCTTTAACTAAAGGCGATCTGCTGCAATTTCTGAAGAAGAGGAAACCAAAAGATGCTTTTTGTATTGTTGGAATCACAATGATTGACCTCTACCCCAAAGATTCATGGAACTTTGTCTTTGGACAAGCTTCTCTGACAGAGGGTGAGGTTTCTAAAAGCAAAGCACTAGGTTATTCAAACACAAATCAGTCTTGATGCAATTTGTTCCATGAGCATTGTGGAGGAGATGCTTAGTTTTTTTGTGTGTGATGCAATGTGACTGAGTAGCCACTAGATAGTGCTAAAGTGAAATACATTAGAGGGGAGATAGCTTCCTGTTTCCTTTCCTCAAATTTTTCCTAAATGTGTACAGGAATGGGCGTTTTCAGTTTTGCCAGATATGATGACAACTTCTATAAGAGAAGTTATGCTGGAAGGCTGAAGAAGCATCTTCAGCCAAGGCAGAAGGATTATTCTGTGTTTGACGGCTATTACACTCCACCGATCACTAGCTCTCTGCTGCTTCGATCCTGCAAGGTTACTAAGAAACATCTCAGTTTACTTAATGTATTTAGTTATTGTTGGTTTGCCAGTGGTCATGATCTGCCCACTTGTATCAACACGTCTTATCAAAGCACTTATTTCCATAGACCCTTGTAAACCTTCACTCTTGTGTCTGTTTTTAGTCTTCATTGTAACTTTAGTGTTTCTGCTCCAGACAATGACTCACGAGATCGGCCACATGTTTGGAATCTCACATTGCCAGTGGTTGAGCTGTGTCATGCAAGGCTCCAACCACCTCGATGAGTCTGATCGAAGGCCCTTGGACTTTTGTCCCATCTGCCTTCGCAAACTGCAGTTCGCAATCGGCTTCAATATAGCTGAAAGATACAAGGTAATGACACATTGATTGCTGAAGACAAGGAGATAATTACAATATTAATCCCTTTACTCTCTTTACTATTTTGTTATTGAATAAATACAGCACCAGCAAGACATTAATTGGAGTTTATCAGACCATTGTTATTTTAACAAAGATATAGTCTTTGTATACTCTGTGCTGGAATAGTGAGAGTTCATCTGAGTACTTATTTGATGTGGGGTCATGGGTTAAAAATATTGATTATTTCAGATTTCTAGCTAAATCTATGCGCTGCACTGTGTCCTCAGCCTACCTGACATGCTTGAGTTCACAGTGGGCCTTTAAATCAGACTGAATTTTGACCCCAATGTGCTGAGCAAGTAGATAGTAAAAAACATATTTCACACAGGCTGCTTCACAGTGCCGGCTTGATTTTTAACTTGCCGTTTTTTTTTCTCGTACTTTATTTTGTTTTCCACGTTTTGTGGAAATGTCATCACACTGCACTTATTTGTTGTTTATGAAGCATCTGGTAACAGTCACTGTCAAAGCAAGAATGCAAGAATCTCCCACACAGTATTGAAAATGCATATAAAAATAAAAAATGGAAAGATACACAGAAATACATCAAATAAAAATCATAAAAAATAAATAATATTTATTTTTAATATTTATAATATTTTTATAATATTTATATTTTGAATAATATAAAATAATATAATAAACATCAGTTAACTTTTTTTTTTTTTTTTACTGTTTATCAGGCCTTACTTCACTGGATGGACGAGGATCAGACTCAAACATCAGTGAAGGCATCAGCCAGCCATACCACACCTCACTTTACAAAACCCACCGAAGCCTTTAATGCATCCAAACTTTGGGTCTGCAGGTGTTTGGAAATACTGGAAAAGGATCAATAATAGTTCTTTTTTACTCTATTTGAGCACTTTATAAATTGCATTCATCCACTCAGTCATACAAGCACTTTTTACAATCCCAAAAATGTATGGGATTGTAGGAGGAAAGGTATGCCCAGTGGATGCAAAGATCCATGCCATTTCAACCTTTCCAGTTCCATCTACAAGAAGGGAGCTACGTCGTTTTC